TGTTGTTGTTGTTGTTGTTGTTGTTGTTGTTGTTGTTGTTGTTGTTGAAGCCCCTTTGTAATCAAGGATGCTGAGGATCATCCTGACGCGTTTTCGACCGTGACTCGCGTACATGCAGTGGCTGGCGGCGTGGCTAGTGCTGACGACACTTTTTCTGCTGCAACCGCTGCCTGCGCGGCCCATTGGACCTGGCACGCTCTTGCGCGGCCACCGTCGCATTGAAGCAACCTTGGGTCGGTCGAATCGCACCTTGATCCCCACTTGTTTCCTTGGAAATCTACAACCGTGGTCCCAAGTCCACGGGCTGGGTAGCCTTGCTTCGACTTATTTTTGTTGGAACCTTACTCCCAGTAGGGGCGAGGGTTGGGTGAGGGCCATGCCTCACCTGAGAGCAGAGACCTCCATTCGCTCGATAGACGACGATGCATCCTCTGCGAAAATCCATGGCATCGGGCCGGTTTGTTGGGGGACCTTCAAAAGAATGCACCCCCACTCGAAGCGCAGCTTTCGTAGGGCCAAAGGCCGAGCTCTTCGTAACGGTTTTACCTGGTATCGAGGTAAGCTTCTAGATAGAGCTCAACTTGGATGCTCTGAGCCTTCTTCGTCGATTGCACCACCCATCAAATCGACACAGCCTCGTTCCGTTCCACGCGACCTCAGGAAGCGGATACATGTCCTGGCATGGAATAGCACGGGCCTGGCAGCTTGGAAATTGGATGAACTTCGACACTGGCTGGCTGAGCAACCCTTTCAAGTGGTGCTCATCTCTGAGACTCGCTGGCAGTTTGATCGTGAATGGATTGAAGGTGGCTGGATCCACATTGCATGCAGTGGAGAACCGTTTCGATCATGTGGCATGCTCTTTATGATTCGCACCACCCTCTGTCAGCAAAATCAAGTCAGTTGGAGGTCGATTGTTGCTGGTCGCCTGATTCATGTTCGGCTATACTTAGATAGGCCTCTTGACCTGATTGGCTGCTATCAACATGTTTATGTCAATAAATACTCTTGTAAGCAGAACAGAATGCATTGGATTCGCTCACTTGATTCTCTTCTCCATGAAATCCCTAACCGGAATAACCTTGTGTTACTTGGAGATTGGAACTGTGGCCTCCCACAATCCAGGCCTCACATTGGAACTTCTGACTTCCTGAGTTCGACTGGCCGCCAACTGGTCTCATTACATGAGGACTGGAACAAACACCTTGAACTTGTTCGAACACATGATTTGTGTGCCATCAACACTTGGCGACAAGACACTGGACCTACCTGTCGAACTGCCAAGGGTGATTTGTCCCGAATTGACTACATGTTTGTACGGACTCGTCAAACGGATAGAGAAACACTTGAATGTATGCCTTTGGAATCATTTGATCTTCTGGGTACTGCTAAAATAGGCCACCGTCCTTTGATTGGTTCATTAAATCTTGCCTGGCGTCCTTCATCTGGAGCGGCGCTGAATCGCATCACGTACCAAAGTCGTGTCATGTGTAGATCTGCACAACAGGACCCTGTTCGATGGAGCACCTTTCTTACTGCCAACACGGCAATTTTGACTGAGGCCCGCTGGACTGATGTGCATGATGTTCAACACACACAGGATCGCCTCACATCAAACTTTCAACAGATGTTTAATCGTCAGAAAGCTGTTGAGGCCCCTTGGAATAAAACTAAAGGACTTATGGCCACTAAGTGGGACCTCCTTGCGCAGATCCGTAAACTGACTAGTCCTGGTATTGCTAGCTGCTTCAGATGTTGGCATTTGATCACTGCACATCATAAATGCCATGTACAACAGCAACTGGCATCACGCCAGGCAAGGAAGGATCGGTTTGATCTTTTGATCTCAGAGGCTCGTTTTGCAGCCTCTAGACATGACTTGTTTGCCCTACATGCCATTGTTCGGAAGCTCTCACCCAAAGTTGTTCTTCCGAAGATCAACCTCCGAGGAAGTCAAGGGGAGTTGTTGAGTCCGGTTGAGGCCTTTGCACACTTGAAGCATTATGTCTGTACTGCATGGGCTGGCCCTCAACTGCAGTCTCCGACTGGACTGGCGCCAGGTGTCCCGTTCAGTGAGGATGAACTGACGCGAGCGTTTGCGCGCCTTAATATCATGAAGAGCACTGCACCGGGCACATGTCCCAATGGATGCTTAAAGGCCATTCCACATGAGACGACTGCTCAACTTTACCCCCTGTTGCAGCGTTGGTGGTCACATAACCCCCCTTTCATTCCACAGCAATGGAAAGACGGTTCTTTGTTTTTGTTGCCCAAGCCTGGCAAACCTCCTGATACTGCTGCCAACTTGCGGCCTCTTGCGCTCCAAGACCCGTTAGGAACCACGATTCTAGGCCTTCTCACCGCTATTGCCAGGAATAGTGTGTTAGATCAACTGTGTGCACAACATCAATATGCCTACCTTCCCCATCGGGGCACACACGAGGCCATTAGCAGGGCAGCTGACCACTGTCAGAAGGTTCGTGCTCTCCTCCATAGCATGAGGCGACCGCAAAGTCTCAACTCGTCTAACCAAAGTTCGAGTCTGTATGGAGGGCTGACCATCAGCATTGATTTGAAACGAGCTTTTGATAGTCTTCCTAGACCTGACCTATTTGATGGCCTTCGCCAACTAGGAGTGGATGGGGCTTGTGTGACTCTTTTGCAGGAGTGGCATGTTGGAACAAGATACTGGCTTGAACATAAAGGTCATCAAGACCATGTCAGTGTTGCGCTGGGTGTCAGACAGGGATGCCGAGCAGCACCATTTTTGTGGGCAAGTAGCATGTCCAGACTCATGACTCGCCTTGCGGAAAGCACCAGTCCTGAGTGGGTTCTCAAGGTCCTGACCTTATACGCAGATGATTTTCTTCTCCAATGCCAGATCACCTGTGAACAAGATTTGTGGGATCACCTGCACTTTGTTGGGATTTTGTTTGATATTCTGGATACAACAGGATTATCCATGAACCTCACCAAGACTGTGGCCTTGTTTCAGATTGCTGGCAAGAAGTTCAAGAAACTTCAATCCCGCGTCCTTGTTGAGCAAGCACACCAATGGTTCTTGCTTGTGCCCCGCTCCAATGGGAACGCCACAAAAATCAAGTTGGTGGCGGACCTCAAATATTTGGGATGCAAGCTGAGCTATGGTAACTTTGAAAAACTCACATTGGAGCATAGGGTGGCTGCTGGACTTCAGGCAAATCGACGCCTACATCGATGGCTTTATGGTAAAAAAGGGCTGGACAAAGACCAAAGAAGGAAACTTTGGGAGAGTGTCGTCCGCACAACCATGACGTATGGTATTTGGGCAACTGGCGTGACACTGGCTGGGCTCAAGCGGCTGGTGAGTCTTTTGGTGACCATGCAAAGGATGATCTACATGAATCATTCACATCGGACAAGAGCTTCACATACACACTTTTTTCAGCAGAATCAGATTGAGCATCCACTTCAGTTTCTTCACCGCTGCTGTTTGCGCATCCTGACTGGCCATACAGCCAAGCTCGGGCTACGACCTCAGACGGATGTTCTGCACCGACTCCCGCTTACAGGAACACGATCCATGCTTGAACAGATTGAGCAACTCACCACTGGAGGCCCTGACCTGACGGTGGCTTCCGCGGCATTCGGGTGCAGAACGTGTGGAGTGGCGTTCTCAAGTATCCAAGCATTGTTGACTCATGAGGGCAATACACATAGAGTCAAACACAAACGAGTTCAGGCCTTCTCTGCAGTCCGAGACTCTGTGGACGGAACGTCTATTTGCAGGCATTGCCATCATTCGTTTCCATGTTGGAATGCACTTCGAACTCATATTGAACATGCATCATGTCCTCTTTTTGACCCGTTGCAGGTGATGTCGACCTCCCTGGCCAATGCCCGTACCAGTTTGCAGCCACAGATCTTGGAGGTTGATCCCACTGGTCTCAGCCTGAATCCATGCATTGGGGACTACCTCCGAAGTCACTGCATTCTTTGTGGAACTCAGCTGCTACGTTTTCAGGACATGACTCATCATTTGGCTTTGGAGCACACTTCATTGGCCGCCCAAGCTTCTGGATTGTACCAACATTGGCATGGATCTATGCTGTCTCCTTGCACCTTCTGTCATGTGGACTTTGCTCACACACATCATTGCAAGGTACTCTTCCAGCTGATGGTTCTGCGTGCAGAGAGCTTGGCAGGCACAGGTGCCCCGACACAGCCGCAAGCTCCGATTCCTTCCAATGAGACTTCATCATCACGCACTCCAGCTGATGGTATGATTCCCTTCCAGATTGCAAACACTGGCCTCAAAAGAGACGGACCCTCCTCTTCTCCTGCCATGACTGATGACGTGCAAGGCCATCAAGGCCATCAGGCTACCAGTCCCCTGGGAGCTCCTTTGGCTACTTCGACCTCCAATACAGGTGCCCCTGATTCCAAGCAACAGAGCACAGTTGATCATCCCACTAGCTCCATGACATCCTATGAGAACCCGTCCTCCTATGTCTGCATCATTTGTGCATGCTCTTTTGTCACACAGAATGACTTAGCAGAGCACATGAAGATTCACGATACATATCACTCTGTTCGTGATGCAGTCATGGGACATCCGACCTGTTCTCATTGCCGGAGTAGCTTTCGGGAAACTTGGGAACTTCAGAGACACATCGTGAGGAAATCCTGTCCTGTCTTTGATCCGCAACTACAACCGACAGGTGCACTATGCTTTGATCCTGATCTTCAAGCTGCTCTTCGAGAAGGAACGGTCGTGGAGAGGTTGCTGAAT